AGAGAGAGAGAGAGAGAGAGAGAGAGAGAGAGAGAGAGAGAGAGAGAGAGAGAGAACATGATGAAATTACCAGGCATCATGACATTTCTCATCTAAATATTGCAGCCTGAACTTCCTAACCACAAGGCCATTTTCACATTCAGGGAATTTATACCAGTACAAAAATACCATGCTCCACACTCCCATTTTGCCAATAGTTCCTAGACTGAATGCTCATTTCCTGATGCAGAATGCACCCTAGGATCAATATTGCATTTGGTTGCCGTGTCTCCGCAGCCTCCTTTAATCTGTTTCCTTACACTTAGTATTATCTTTCTGCCCCGTCACCTACTAACTCAAGAGGGCACCGTGGGTGAGAGGTGTGCTAAATGAATTTGGAAGCAGACAGCCATGGGCTCATTGCCCGTCTCCTTGTTCCATACGGTGTCTAGAAACTTACAAGAACTCAGTAAGCCTGTTTTTTCCATCACTAAAATGGAATCGTTGGACTGAGCTTGCAGCACTGGAGTAAAGATTAAACGAAGTAACCTGGTCAAGTTCCCTGCACGTTCATCTTCCGAATCTATTTCTTGAGCATTCCTTGTGCTGTGCTATGAGATGGAGACAGACAAGTGAACAACATTGGGCTTGACCCCAGCTCTTGTTCAGCTTACCACTGGGTGGGGGACTTGGGCACAATGCTTATTTATTCCAGTTAAAAAATCTGGATGAGGCTGAAGAGATGGCTCCGTGGTTAAGAGCACTTGTTTTTGCAGAGGACCTGGGTTCAATTCCCAGTACTCAACCTCCTGCAACTCCAGTCCTAGGGTATCCACCACCCTCTTCTGGACTTTATAGACACTGCATGCACCATCACATGGTGTATGGACATACATACATGCAAAACACCCATACATGTAAAAATAGAGGTTAAGCAAAGGTACTCTATTCCAGGTGATGCATGCCTAATCAGCATTTGGGAGGCAGAGGCAGGCAGATCTTTGAGTTCAAGGCCAGCCTGGTCTACAGAGTGAGTTCTAGGACAGCCAGGGCTACACAAAGAAATCCTGTCTTGAAGCCCGCCCCCGCAAGTACTCTGGATAGAAAGGCAGACTCTGTGTCTTCTTCATTTCAATAGCCTCAATACCGACCACTGCACTTGAACATGCACTAGTTACTAGTGTTACTAGTGTAAGTAGTATAACTAGATAACTGGATTTTGTTAGTACTGACTTTGAGGGCTCGTCAACCACAGACACGTCTTAGAAATTTTTGTTCTCCTTGATCCCCTGGGAGTATTCTGGAATGGAGTGACCTCTGGAATGGATCTCTTTTGAGGGATGGCCGGGCTTGCCAGGATTGAAAAGATAGCCACTGGCAATTTCCAAAGAAACCACAAATCAAGAACTAGGTTTTACAGTATTTTCTGAGGAGCGTCTATGTCAAAGATGCTATAGAATGGGAAAGGCAGTAAAGTGGAAGACTTGAGGGGGAGGTGAGAAATGGGATCAGAGATCCATGGAAAGAGGGCCTTGCGTGAGTGTGAAGAGCCTGATGGCGGTTGGGAAGGTGAACTCCTCTAGGACTGAAGGTTAGGGTGGGGACAAGATGACCAGCAGCTTGCTGGTAGATTAGATGAAGGGGATGCTGTTTGGAGAAGGGTGGGGTGGGTCATGCAAGGAACTGTCTGAGCAAAGATGTGGAGCTGGGACTTACAGTTAATGAGGCTACTAAGTGTGGGTCACACGTGTTGTCATGTTCAGAAAATGGCGGCCACTCACTAAGAGAGCTCTCTTCCTTAGCCCATGAGCAGCAGATTATCATTAAATGATCTACTAAGAGGCTGGGGCAGCAGTTCGGTGGGAAAGGCCTGGGAAAAGTACGTAGTTAGAATGATGGCTAGAAATGCTTGCCTTTTAGGGGGATTGAATATAGGCCTGGGGCGTGCTAAACAAGCACTCTCCCCCTGAGCTCTATTCTTAGGCCTCTTCTCATTTATTTTGACACAGGGGTTCCCCAAATTGTCCAAACTGGCCTCGAAATCACTCTTTAGTCCAGACAATCTTGAAGTTGAGATCCCCTGCCTCAACCTCCAGAGTAGCTGAGATTACAGGCCCAGTGAGAAAAAAACCCTTTTTCTTGATGGCTGTTTACAGAGAGACAGATGAGATGGCTCATATAAGGTGGAGCAGGCTTTGGTAGGCTACATGGTGCAGTGATGTAGACCGAACACCCTGGAGCTACACACCTTGGCCTTCCAGTGTTTGCCCTGTGTGACCCTAGGCAGGCTACTTAACTTCCCTGAGGCTCAGCTTCTTCCCTCTAAACTGGCGAGGCGGGTGACTTAAGCGACGGACGACACACACTGAATAATGGCTAGACAGTGCGATCTCTATGCTACCTCAATGTTCTAGTTTAACGAGATGCCAGCAGTATCTTGCCCACATACTGTTTCCCAAGGAGAACACTGAACTCAGCCTCAGTCACCCAGAGACACACAGGCCTAGAGACCAGGCATTGGGCTCTTGGACTCAGCTCCTTCACCCAGGGTTCCTCGGCGGCGCCTGAAAGCAGATGGTCGGGGAGGCAGACAAAGCCAGGCAGGAGAAGCAGCAACTTGCTCTTGAACCAGCTGACAGCCCCCCTCTCCCCTCACGGCCTCACCCTAGGCTGGGAGCGCGTGCTGGGAAGAGGATTAAATCAATGGCAATTCACATCTCTCCAGAAACCGGCTCCCTGATCCGAACTAATAAGCAAATCATTAGTGAATTAAGGCTGGGGAGGGCTCGGCGCTGCGTTCCTTAAACTCCAGCTGTACGACAGGCGTCAAAACCCCAGCCACTTTCCTAGGCGACCTCGAAATGATCACACTGTAGAGATTTTCTGTGTTAAAACCACAAGCAAGCTACCCCTACCCCAACTCAGCCAGGCCCAGAATCTTGGGGATTCTTGGGGACAGGCAACCTGGACCTTCCTTCTTTCTTCAGCAGCTACCAGAGCCGGTGGGGCGAAACCTTTTCTCTCTTGTCAGACTGCAAGCCCTGAGTATTTTTGCAGCAGTGAGGACAACCAGAAGCCAAAATGCCGCCCCCACCCCCCCACCCCCGCCCCAGCCCTGGGCACAAACTAGGCCCCCTTGCTTATTTCCTGGTGAAAGCCCATTATCTCTCATTTACATCTAAACTAGCTTTTCATACTATTTTAAAGGCCGCTCCTCCCCTTCTGTAATCTCCCTGTGCATGAATTAAAAGTTGATTCTTGAAACGCACAAATCTTGGGGGCAGTTTCTTTTTCCTTCTTATTTGCATACGCTGTTTTGGACTAACCCTTTTATTTCCTCCCAATTATGATTTCTGGTGTGTTTTCCAGAGCTTTACAACATGGCATCTGATTATACACAAAGCTTCAGAATAAAGCCCTGTTTTTCCCTTCATTAACGACACAAAGGATGGCTGTGTGATCCACACAGCACTTTGTGATTTAATACAGCTTACGCTCTAAATCGCACCCGGCTTGGGCAAAGCAGATTTGGGAGTGAATCAACGCATTTTCTTGCTGCCAGGAGCTCCCTTGCAGATTCCAGCAAATTCTTTCACCACACAGAATTAGCATTTGATTAAGCTCTGCAGACGCGCTCAAACTTTTACCACTGAGTCCTGGCAGGGCTGCGGTAATCTGCCGGGAGAGGGGAGAAAGGGAGAGGCATCTAGAACCACCACTGCTACCCGGTCTGTCCCCAGCCGATTGCGGGAGAAGGTACTGGAAAGTGAGAGAACTCTGGGAGGGGTGGGGGAGGCTGATGGTGAGGACCATTGAGTGCCTGTTTGAGTTGGGACCTTTCTTCCCTACACTTACCCTAGACAAGCTTTCTCACTTAGCGTGCTTTCCTACAGAGCACTCAGAGTTGTGATTCCTAGTCTCAGGGGGGATAAGACCTTCAACTAGAAGCTGCCTGGCTTCAGGTCTGAGGGAGCAGGAAGACCCTTTCCCAGTGTCCCTGCCCAGCCCCACCACCCTGTCTGCAGGGTTTGATTTCTCTCGTAGCCATCTCCACTTAGATGAGCTTCTAGAATTGCTTCCAGGAGAGCTTCGAGTAAAGCCTCCCAGCAGCCTGGGTTGAAAAGCTCGTCCATTGCCATTATGCAAATATGAGAAGCGGAAGTTTATCAAACTGGGGCTTTGTACCTCGAAAGTGGGTGTGCTAGCATGGGGGACTATAAAGGCTTTATTGCCACAACTTTGGGGTGATTGCTTCCCTCGCAAATGCTGGGAGCACGATTGAATTATGCAGGTCTTCCAAACAGGTGGCAATAAAAACTTTACAGTCTCCCACACCATCACATATTTTGTTTATGCCTCTTAGGTGTCTTATTTTGTTAGAGGTGTTTTTTTTTTATACTCTTCTGTTACTATGGAAACGGAAATAGGTGGAGATGGTTCTGGGTACCTGTTTTGGTAGATGCAAATGAGTTATCACCGGGGTACTCTGATTGATGGAATAACTGAGGTTGGGGAGGGTGAGAACTAACTAGTTCTGGAACATCATGGCTATTTAAATTCTCTCTTCCAGGAAGATAGGGAGTGAGGGGGAATGGGTCCATTTCACAGATGGTGAAACAGAGGGACAACACACATAATCTTTCTTGCAGTCAGCAGCCAACTCGCCACACCAGAAGAGAACAGCAAAGGGATCAAGAAACTTTGTGTCCAGTGCCCTTTTGGTAACCTGAGGTCAGGCTGCAGTGACATCTGCTGGCAGAGACAGAAGTGGCCCTAACAGGATTTTCTGTTGCTGGCAACCAGCAGGTCAGGAGCTTGTGGGTCTGCCTAGTACACATGTGGACTCTAAGATAGCTTAGTTGGGGAGAAGAGAGTTGCACAGAGCGCCTTTGTCCTGACTGAGACAAGAAAACCAGGCTGTGGCAGTGAGCTGTGGGAGCTGTGAGGACTTGAGGAACCAGGTTCCAGGTCCCAGGTGCCCTACCTAGTCTAGAAAGTTCAGCTCACCAGTGGGTGGGAGGAAATATCCAAGATGGGTCTGTTGGTTCTTGTTGCCAACCAAAGAGTTCTCTCACTTGGGGGCCCTGTCTCTTCTTTTGGGGAGGTTCTGACTCTTCTCTTTCATGGAAAAGGGGTGAAGAAGACGGCACCTAAGAAGGTTCCGAGGAATCTGAACGATGCTCAATGACATTGTCAGCAACTGCAGAGAAGAGGAGCCCCTGAAGGAAGAACATGGCACTTGCGGACACTCATGTAGACAATGCCATCCTTAGCAGAATGAGGAAGTTGGCGGGAGAGCTCATTGCTATTAAGGAAGACCTTGGTTTCTAACCTCCTTGTGAACTTGAAAAATACTTAGTCCTCCACTGAGTCTTGGCTTTTCCATTTGAGGGAGCATTACTATACTAGCATCTTAGCTCTGTCCCTTGGAGACATCTATAGAACATAACATACAGAATAGAATCATCAACATCTATAGAATATAAGACTCAACAAAGGGCTGTCAGGCACTCCTGTTTCCTGGGATGTCTTACCTCAGTGACATTCTTCCTTTGTTGGATAACTAGTCAGGGCTAGGAAGCTCTGTTCAACCATGTTAGAGTCTTCTACAGCAATGATTCTCCAACAGTGGTCTGCAGACCTGGGCTGGTTCAGCAGCAATTTGTTACCTGTAAGTGACAACCTAACACAGAAATCAAGAATAAATATTTTAGAACTTCTATGTGTCAGAGTCATTTTATGTCTATTGAATCCAAAGACTATTAAAATTTGGGCTTAAAAAAAATGTCATTCCCCCCACCTCCCATAATTCATTTTTTAAAATACTTTACAAGAGATTTGTCTGTGACAGCTGGGGAAAGCAAGCAAGCAAGCAAACAAACAAGAGAAATAACAAGTCCTTCAGCACAAATTACTTGAGCACTGCTGTTTTGTGGGGTCCCATGACCAGCTTCCTATAGGTTCTATGGTCTCATGACCAGCTTCCTCCAGCATACTGGTCTCTGGGACATCACTTGGACAGCTAGGCCCAGTTACCTACTCTCTCACCCAATTAAGTTCCGAATGGCTGTCTCCCTCCGAAAGGCCTTTCCGTGCGCCTGACTGGGCTGGCCATGGTTTATGGAGGATATTCATCCGGTTGGCTGGTGCTGACTCTACTCTCTCAGACTCACTGGGCCACACCTGCCTCCCAGGGCGGTAGGGAGGGTTGTCCTGACACCTGTTTCCATCCATCTTCCCATGCTTTGAAAGCTGGAGGAGGAAATAAAAAGGCTCTCTCCCAGCTCCCCTTTCTTTCTGCTCCAAGTGAACCTGAGAGAATGGAAGGAGCTATTGAGCAGGCAAATGAGCTTTCATGATCTAGTTCATTAGGCTGTGAATCCCTGGGCCCACCATCCATAGAGATTCAGTTCAGGCTTGCTTTTTTCCCCCCGGCATGTGTCTCAGGGGACTGTCCCCCCCCCTCCACTCGACCCATTTCTATGGAGCTCCTTGCCCAGTACCTTGCCCTGTGGTACATTCTTTGTGCTGAACCTGCAAGGATTAGGTTGGAGGTCGTGTGTGGGTGAATGGGTTGTGACTCAGAGCCGGTTGTCTCTCTGAGCCTCGCTTCTCTGAGTTGTTCATGGTGTGTGGTATGCCTCCTCATAAAGTTAAGTTGTTTGAAACACTGGTTATGATGGAAGTGAAGAAGGACCCCCAAACCTCCGTAGTGACTGAGAGCTGATTCTGTTTTCTATTTTTTGTGGTCTTGGGAAATTGAATGTACCGCTTCCATGGTCTCGTCTGTAATCTGGGGATTACAAAAATCTCCTTCATATGCTTGTCCTAGATTAAAAAAGATGATGCTGGGGAGATGCATGAGGTGGGGACAGGACATGCTAGCTGTTCTAGCGTTCCCAGCATTCACCTTGCTGCTCCCACTCCAGAGGTTAGCCACTTCAGGTTTTTCCTACCCTGTCTTGGTGGATTTGCCCTTCTCTGGGTAAAGTCTTCCTTGCTCCACTTCCGCCCAGTGACTCAGTTTAGTTGGCTGACTCAAAGGTGTTTTGTTTAGGCAAATGGGTACCCTCTTCCGATTCAGAGTGGGGAGTGTTGGTGGATGACTACACATGGGTGGGTAGGAGCCTTCCACTCCCCCATCACGTGACCCAAGCTGGCAGGGCCAACAGCAGTATTCCTTCAGTCACCCAGCCTCTGGTTTCTTTCTAACTTCTACACGACCTCACTCCCAAGATTGCCTGGAGCCACTGTATTTTTCCAGTATGCAGATAATCTCTTTCCCTGTATGTTGCTAATTTTAGAAATTATATTTGCGCATATTTTCCCTCCATTTTTCTCTTTCCTGTTGTCCCCGCCCTCCCCTCTTCTGGGAGAACATCCTCCACCGCCTTTTACCTTAGTCAGCCTGTTTTGTGTGATTCAAACATGAAAAAATAACCAAAGAAATACAATCCAGAGGAGGAGGAGCAATAAATCAAGCCATTATATTAATTATCGTCGTGACTGGAGTTCTCCAGAGCTGAAAGGCAATAGGGCCGATGCATATTTTAACACCTATTTAATGTCAAACTCGGTGCTTTCAAGGCGGCTGTGCGTTTTGAATCTTCCCCCAGAAAAGTTCGCCAAGCCATTGCTACTTCTAGAAAAACCTAATTGAGATCTACGGAGCAGTTGCTCGACGCTAAGCTGGTGTTTCCCACGGTGTGTTAGAATGCACTGGAGGGTGGTGGCAAAGGCTTACTGCTTCCTCCCTTATTATTAGTTATCGCTCCTGCTGCCATGAGAAGATATCCGAGTAGAGCAATGGAAGGAAGAAAGGGATCATTTTGTCTCACAATGTGAGGGCACAAGTCCATCCTGGTGGCCTCTCACACCGCCAGGCTCGTTCCCATGCAACAGGAAGCAGAGTGTGAGGACGCCGGCCGGCCGGCTGGCATCCAGTCACTTCTCTGTTTTATGCAGTCCAGGACTCTACCTATCTTCAGGATGGGTCTTTCCCCTTCACTTCAACCTCCCTGGAAACACGTTCACAGACACACCCAGAGGTGTGTTGCCATGGTGATTCTAAATCCAGTCAAGTTGACAAAGAAGATTAACCAACACAGCTCCCAACCTCATACCCCAGCATGCATTGCAGCTGTGTCCTCTTTCAATAAAGCTTGGATGTTTACGGCCATACTCTGGATGTTCCAGGTACTAGGGCTGCAAGACAAATTACTTTGAAACTTAGCAGCCTGAAACCATTTATTAAATCTTCACAGACACTGCTAGCTGGCAACTGAGACAGAACCCAGCAGAAATGGCTTGTCTCTGCTTTAGAGTGCCTGGAGTGTCACCACAAAGGCTCCGAGTCTGAGGGCTGGAGCCCTTAGAAGCCTGGGCATGCGTAGTATCTGGTAGTTGAGTCTGGCTGCCAGTTGAGCTCTAAGCTGGCCTCTCACGTAGCCCAGGCTTCCTCCTGAAATGATAATTGAGTTCCAAGGATGAGTGAGGACCAAAAGAGTCAGGTTATATAGTATCAGTTTCTTTGTCTTTTACTTTACTTTTTTTGAAACAAAGTCTTTCTGTAGCCAGATACCTAGAACTCGAAATCCTCCTGCATGAGACTCTCAAGAGCTGGGATTACTTGTGTCAAGGCTAGCTACATAGTGTCCTTTCCACAAAACACCATAGGAGTGGTCATGGGACATAGACTCCGTCTTTGTATTATTTAATTAAGGTGTGTGCGTGTGTGTATGTGTGCGCGCACACATGAGCAAGTAGCATGAGGTGAACATGGACAACTTTGTCTTCTTCCAGCATGTGGGTCCTGGGGATTGAACTCAGGTTGTCAGGCATGGCTGCAAATGTCTACCCATTGAGTCCCCTCGGAGGCCCATGCCTTCCACCTTTTGATGGGAAGTTCAAGGTGCTGGAAGACCACTGAGACCTCTACACGAGCATTGTTGGCAAAGACAGCTGGCTGTGATCAGCCTGCGCAGTGAGCTCTCATGCTCTGTCCAGTTCAGGGCTGCCAATGCTGGTCCTTTCTCTTGACGGAACCGAGACTCCAACAGTCCCCCCGACAGTACTCCACAGGGGCAGAGTGGGCTTTGAACAAAACCATCCCTACAAAGTTCATCTTCTGCTTCTCTATGTAGATTGTTCCCCGACCAACTCTTTCCCTTGCCTACATATGGTCCGTAGGATTTTCCTCAGAGTATTTTGTTGTGACAGACAGCTGGGCCAGGAAAGCAAGGGAAAACCAGTTCCCACAAGTTCCTAGACCCCTTCTACCCAACAGAAATATAAAATGAGCTGCAAATATGAGTCATGTAAGTAATTTAAAATTTTCTGGTAGTCATCTTAAAAATAACAAGAAGCAGGTGACATTAATTATTAATATATATAGCTCTATAGACTCAAACTATTTTTCATTCTTTTTCATACCTGGCCTGTGAAGTCTGGTGTGTATTTTACATTTACAGCATTCCCCTTGGGGACCAGCCTCATTCCAAGTGCTCAACAGCTGCTTGTGGCCATAGTCAGCGGCACAGGACAATGCATACACCCAACATTGCCATCATCACGGAAACTAGTATTAGAAGACTGGGATGGTGGCCAAGTGCCTGTAATCCCAGCACTTGGGAAGATGAGGCAGGAGGATTGCCACACAATCGAGGCCAGCTTTGAGAGCACAGTGAGTTCCAGGATAGCTTGATTCAAAAAAAAAAACAAGGCAGGGGTGAGGTGGGGTGGGGTGGAGCATGGGCTGGAGAGATGGCTTAGCTGCCAGATCTGACAGCCTGAGTTTAATCCTGGGACCCTCATGATGGGAGGAAAGAACCCAAGCTATTTTTCAATCGTTTTTTGTCTGTGGAATCGGGTGTAAATTTTGCATTTAGAATATTCCTTTTTGGGACTAGCCTCATTTCAAGTGCAAGTTATCCTCTGACCTCCACGTGCATGCTGTGGTCTTTAAATGTCCCTACACTTACACACACACACACACACACACACACACACACACACACACACACACTCACACACTCATGCATGCACACTAAATAAATAATAGCACTTTTTTAGATTTATTTATTTATTTTATGGGTATGAGTTTTTTTTTTTTTTAACCTGCATGTGCACCATGTACATGCTCAGTGCCTGGTCAAGGTCAGAAGACGACACTGGATTCCCTGGGACTAGAGTTACAGATGGTTGTGAGCTGTCATGTGAGTGCTGGGAGTCCAAGGTGGCCCTCTGCAAGAGTAACTAGTGCTCTTAAACACCGAGTGAACTCTCCAGCTCCTTAATGTTGTTTGTTTACAAAACCACAAAAGTAGGACTTGTATTGGTCAGCTCTGGTCCACAATGTATTTTCTATACCTGAAAGATGTGATAAATAATCCTAGTTGTAGTTGAGTGCCATGTATCAGAGAAGGTTTATTGTAGATGCGTGGGAGAGCATAGCCAGAGGCAGGGACATCTGGGAGAGTCCAGAGTGGACTGAGCTGGGCCATGTGGGAAGAGGGGGAGCAGAAGACAGAGAAGAAAGAGCGGGGACCAGATACAGCAGCCAGGAGGCCCAAAGAAAGAAGATGGAAAAGGGGCAGGTAACCAAAATGGTTGATTATATAGGGAAGGGCAGCCCAGCCCCTGGGCTGGAGAAGTTTAGGATAGGGGGTGGGTGTGC